ATGCAGATGGCACTCTTGTGCAGCACAGGCCTTGTAATTACCATGTTGTAGCTGAGGAACCAATGCACAGTGATTCAGGTCTTGCTTAGTTCATTATCTTGTGTGATTCATTGCTCTCAGGACAGAAAGTTTTTCACCCTGGTGTCAGAGCCTGGTCTGCCCAATCTGAGAGTTTTTCTTTTAGGTAAAGAGCATCCTGCAGCCGAACTTCAAGTATCCCTGGAACATCCCCTTCACTCTCCAGCCTCAACTTCTTGCCCCACTCCAGGGTGAGGGCTTGGTCATTACTTATGAATTGCTGAAGGAGTGTGGTCTGAAGATGGAGCTAAATAATCCCAGGTCAACTTGGGATCTGGAGGCCAAGATGCCTCTGTCTGCCCTTTATGGGAGTCTGTCATTATTGCAGCAACTTGTAGATGCCTAAATCTTCCACAAGGCCTGGCCCCAGCTCAGTCCATGTTGAGTCCTGGAGACATTAGAGATGTGAACCATGGCACACACAAGAGTGGTGTTTTCTGTGCATGTTCTAGGGTGGTGGGAATAAGGATGCTGAGGGTTTTTCTTTTGATTTTACTATTCATTCACAATTTTATAAACAATATGTTTTGATCATATTCACATCCCCCTGTTTTCCTTTTTTTCTAATCCATGTCACCATGTCGCTTATCCACAACTTCTCATTCAACTTTTTTTTGATGCTCTGTTGCATTGAATTAGGATTATTTGCATGAGTGTGGGATTATTAACTTGAGTAAGGGTGACTTTCCATAGGCTACACTGCTGAGGAATGTAACTCCTCTCCCCCCAGCAGTATTAACTGCCAACAGTGTCTTAGGGAGGGATTACCTTATAGGACACTCCTCTATCCATGATGGAATGTTGGTGAGCCTGTGTTCTCTTGGTCTTGTTTAGGTAGCCATTGCTGTTGTGAGTTTAGGGGTGTAATAGCCATGTCCACGAATAAGGATGCTGGTATCTGTCAAGATTCCTCAAATAGTTGGCTAAAGATTTAAAATTTTCCTCTATAGAAAATAAAATAAAATAAATGTTACTTTTACTTATTTGTGTGCTTTTTCAATTGTTTTTGGTAAAAGGTGCTGGTGCCAGTCATTTTGAAATGGGTCAGAAATAAATTGGGGGTATTTTTAGGTAGGTAGTTAATAGTGTGATTACTTAGTACTTTTTGCAAGCATCCTTACTCATTTTATTTTCTTCCCAGCTTCTGTATTTTTCTCTCATCCCCTTTCTAATTAGTCCCCTCCCCTTTTTCTCCATTTCCTCAATGGGATCCCTTGTACCCTCATGTTCCCCTCTCTATTGTCTTCTGCTGCCCTGCAGTGAGGAGTTATCTGAGGCCATCTCAATGAGCATTGCCAGATCAGAGTGGCCTGTGACCATTTCAGTGAGAAATTCTCTTGTCTGATGATTGATATGGAAGGACCCAGCCCATTGTGGGAGGCACCATCCTTAAGCAGATGGACTTGGACTGCACAGGAAATGTAGTTGAGCATGGGGGAGTGATCAGGCCAGTAAGCAGAAAGAACTCTTGCAACCGAGTTTTTGCCTTGAGTGCCTTCCTGACTTCCCTCAAAGATAGACTGTGACCTGGGAGTGTCAGATGAAAGAAACCCTTTCCTCCTCAGGTTGCCTTTGGTCCTGGTGTTTATCACAGCAACAGAAAGCTAACTAAGACACTTCCATTACCTCCAGTACCTGAAAGCCGCAACAGTAGAGACCCCAAACCCTTCTTTTCAAAAGTATATTTAATCATTTTAGACTTTCATATCACAGTTCATGAACTCATCTTTAATTATTGTTACCCACATGCACACATATTTATAAATGAATATAGTCTGCTGAGTGTATTTTGTGTTGCTTGTATGTGCATATGCTTAGTGCTGACCACTTGGGATTGGATAACTATCAGGAGTTTGTCCCTGTAGAAGAATGATTCTCCTCTCAGCAGACATTAATTACCTATAGTTTTCCATGTATAGTTAGGGCCAAGTGAGACTTTCCCTATCCACACTGCAATGCCAACTTATGTTGTCAGTATGTAGGTCTTGTTAAGGTGACTCTAATTTCAGATTTCATGAGTACAGTTTCTCTATCATATCTTGAAGATATAACCTCGCAGCAGACTTCCTGATCCTCTGGATCTTACAATCTTTCCATTCCATCTTCTACAATGGTCCTCAAGCATTTGGTTTGGGGCTAATTTTAAAGATGCATCAACCGTGGGTGGGTATCCCATGGTCAATTATTCTCTGCATTTTGACCAGTTGCAGATTTCTCTAATTGTCCCTGTCTTAGTCACTATTCTATTTCTGTGAAGAGACACCATGATCAAGGCAATTCTTGTAAAGGAGAGCATTTAAGTGGGGCTTGCCTACAGTTTCATGGCAGGAAGCATGGTGACTTGCAGGCAGGCATGATACTAGAGAAATACCTGAGAGAGTTTTACATTGGAATCCAGGGGCAGCAGGCAAAGAAAGAACCGGACACTACGCCTTGTGTAGGCTTTTGAAACTTCAAAGCTCATATCCAGCTACACACCTCTTCCAAAATGATACACCTACCCAACATGGCCACAGTCTTAATTTTTCCCAGTTAATCTACTGGGTACTAAGCATGTGAATCTATGAGCCCCTGAGGGATGTGCTCATTCAAAACACCACAGCCTGTGCTGAGGAAAGAAGCTTCTTTGAGGAGGAAGGAGAGCTACAATTAATTGTGAGTTGATGGAGCCTTTCGGGTACTCTTCCTTCCTTCCTTCCTTCCTTCCTTCCTTCCTTCCTTCCTTCCTTCCTTCCTTCCTCCCTCCCTCCCTCCCTCCCTCCCTCCCTCTCCCTTCTCTCTTTCTTTTCTTTTCTTTTTCTTTTTTTTTTTTTGCAGTTTTTTGTGGTTTGATTTAAACACAAATAAAACACACATGCAAGCCATCTACTCATTTTCTTCGCTGGGTAGCCTGGCGTTGGGATTGGTGACTCTGATGGCCAGCCGTGCTGGTCTTTCAATGATGGCTTTTTGGTTCTTGGAGGAAACGTTGTGAGCAATCTCAGCACAGTAAGACTGGTTG